GGGTGTTGGTTCAACTTGTACTGAACCTTTTCTCTTAAGATATTCAGGTGTGTAGGATACGATACTCTAGTTCATGTGGTTCAACTGCATCATACCTTCACTTCAGTGCGGAGACAACAAAGTGTTTGTAAGGGTCATTCAAATGAGTCTGGGTGGTTAGATGTGTATGTATAAATTATTCGTAAGTGGATGGAACGAGGTTTTGGGTTGTGTGGTGAGGATACTTGTACTCTAGTTTGTAGTGGTAAATGCCATCGAACCTTCTGGCGAACCACTTCCTGTGCGGGAGAGAAAACTACGTGTGTAGGCCTCTGTCACATGAGTTATGTGGGCGGGTCGACAGTAACGACCTTCTCTTGATGTAACTTATCACAAGGGGAACGGATTGGTATTGTAGATTACTTGTACTCTAGTTCGGAAGTTGGTTCAACTGCATCGAACATCCTCGAACCTTCTTGAACCATATTTCAAAAGGGGAACGAGGTTGTGGTTGTTGTATAGGATACTTGTACTCTAGTTGGGAGTAGGATGTGGTTCCATTGACATCGAACCTCTTGAACTTCTCGAACCACTTCAGTGCTGAGGAACACAAAATGTGTAGGAGTGTCATTCACAGGAGTTCTGGGTGGGTCTTGGACGTACAGAACCTTCTCTATAAACTATTTTCGCTAGTGTGACTCTGTGGTTTAACATGCATTCATGAACCTCTCGAACCTTCTTGAAGAACTTGTTTTTAGTGCGGAGGAGTTAATAAATTGTAGGGGTCCATTCGCATGAGTTTTTTTTTTGGTTTTTTGGTTCGACGATTTGAACCTTCTTCTTATCAAACATAAATTGCAAGGGGGCGAGAATAATTTTACTATGGTTCGGCTCCCAGAGAAACACCCGAGATGGGCCGTAGCTAAAGTAGGCCATGTAGCAAGCAAATCCGCCGAGTACCGTCTTAACGGTTTTGCTAAAACATCACTGTGTGAAGTCTAATATGTAATTCATTAACATTATGATTATGATGTGTATCATTACAATATCATTACAAAGTTAATGTTAATATATATATCACACATCTATTAACATTGGCACCACTTCTTAGCCATTGTCTGAAGAAATTTTACTGCATTGCTCTATTTTTATAAGAATATAATAAAATTTTACGTAATAAGTAAGGATTTGAGGCGAGGTCTACACTATATGTAGCGGAGCCTGTATGAGCCAATGCCTTATCTCGCCAAATTGCGCTTTTTTCCCCAAATTGATTTGGTGTTCAACCGTTTCACATTTTTTTGAATTGCATATAACGGTAAAATGAGAAGATGCAACATACTTAATGCTTTGACTAGTTGTTTATAAGTATCATGAGTGAGTGTTCATTATTTTTTCATGGGGGCTCCACTCTTTCCCCATCCTAGCATATAATTTTCCTATCCCCCTCTATATATATGTGGTTTGTCAAGCACTTTTTTGTGAAAGGAAATGAAATGAACAAACTTCCTGAAATGCGTTGAAATAGTTGGACAATATTTTTGAGTGGAAATTTGTATTGTCGCGGACTTATCCCTTATCACGCCTACATATTTGGTCTTGGAATATAAGATAGTAGAATGGGTTAGTATAGCGATTTCAAACTTTTGTGTTTCTAGGACTCTGTATTGTTTTGGTCACATCAACCAGAAAATGAGACAAGTTCGATTGACTTATCCCTCAATGCTTTGACTAATTTGGTAGTATTGTGAATGGTGACATCTTCTATCTCGCTGCACTCTTATTGGCTTACGTCGTCAAACTTTTGTGCGGTATGTGACCCTATGTAAATGATCGTGTTCAAACATTTTGCAACAATTTTTTTGGTATGGCTATCCATTGAACACGGAAAATGAGACAATGTTGTTGTTGTGGAAGGAAAATGTCGGTATCACGCTGCGCACCTATCACCATTTGCTTCCCAAATTTGTGCGGTCACCCCCTATATACAAGGGTGGTTTGTTACTTTAGTGTTTGTCAATGATTTCGCATTTGTTGTCGCACTACGAACGGAAAATGTAATTGAACGAACAACTATCCTTAATGCTTTTTGGACTAAATTTGGAGGAATGAATGCTAATGTCTTCTACCTCACGGCACTTCCCCTTATAATGCAAATAAAATTTGGCGGTCTCCCCCTCTTAGATGGTTTTTTTTTTTGTCAACATTTTTCTTCGCATTTTGTTGTGGGGCAACATTGAATGGGAAAATGAAAGATGCCATCTATTTCCCTCTCTCGACCCAAATTTGGCAGTTTTACCCCTGTATAAGGTTGTGAAACAATTTTCGGCATTTTTGTAGGTCACATGAAGAAAATGGAGACGAGCACATAATCCTTGTAATGCTTTGAGAATGTTGTGTGGATAGGATCACTCTGACACACCATCCCCATCTCCCTTTGAATTTTGTCTTTGTCCCTCCTATTATAAGGGTGTCAATGATTTGCAGTTTTGTGTAGGGGCACATCAAACGAAAATGAAATGAACCAACTATCTTAAATACTTTGACTTCAAGTTGAGAAGTGAATGATATCGTGTCTCTATCTCGCGACACTTAACCCTTATTGCGCCACAATGTGGCTGTCTCCTCTCTCGATTATAAGGATGTCAACGAGTTTCGCAGTTTTGTGTGGGCACAATACGGAAAATGAGACGAGACAACTTCTGTAAAATTCTTATGCTGAAGTTGTGACAATGAGCTAATGGTAAGTGTTTCTTGATATTCTCGCTGGCATCTATTCCGTTGTCGCATGAATTTGTTGTTACCTCCAAATGAGTGTGTGTGGTTTGTGTCATCGATTTCGAATTTTTATGGTGCTACTGAGTGGAAAATGACACAACCCGAACTATCCTTATGCTTTGACTAAATTTGGAGTATTGAATGTAATGTTCTTTCTATCTCGATGCACCAATGCCTATCTCGCCTCAGTTCCCCCCAAAGATTGGTTTTGTCAAACAATTTCTTTTTTGTAGGCATAGAATAAAAATGAGACGAAGTGCCAAATCTGATCCTTAATGCTTGACTAATGTGTTGTGTGGAATGGAAATTGGTGATCGATCGATCACGCTTGTTGCAACGTATGGCCAATTCTTGCGCCTTAATTTTTTCTTGCCCCCCGCATAATAAGGGGTTTTTGTGTGTCAACGATTTCGCATCATTTTGTTATATGCACCCAAAACGGATAATGAAACGAAAACCATAATCCGTCTGAAATATGCTGTACTAAATGTTTTTTGTTAGAAGGGAATAGTAATGTTCGATGCACTTTAATCCTTATCCTCTCAGCAATTTGTGCTGTCTCCTCTAATCTAAGGTTGGTGTCTCGATTTCGACATTTTTGTTGCACAATACAGAATATTAGATGAGCCACGTATATCTTAATACTTTGACTCTGAAGGGCGGCGTTGAATGGAATGGTGAGGAGTCCAGCTCGCTGGCACCTATCCCTTCTCGCCTAGATTTGGTGGGTTTGTGTGGTCTGGTGTGTGGTTAGCGGTGGTTTCGTCATTATTTTGTTGCACTTATGAACACAGATACTATCTATAAGTGCTTTTACTAAAGTTGGAGTATGGAAGGTGTTACTGTCTGCTATCTCGCTGTCACAAATTGCCTATCTCGCCAGTCAGTTTGCTGTCTCTATATAAGTGTGTCAACGATTTCAAAATTGTGTGGCCAGCTATTATGAACGTGGAAATGAAACGAACCAACATAGCCTTCAGCTTGACTCTAAATTTGGACATGGATGAATGTTAATGTCTCTACCTCACTGCACTGCCAAAGTTGCTGTCTCCCTATATATGGGTGACAACGATTTCGCATTGGTTAGTGGGCACTATGAACGGAAATGCCGACGGCCATCTATATATTATATCCCTCTGACGCAGCTATTACCACTGTATAGTAGTCATTGGCGAATGTAGTATATGGACTGGTAATGTCCACTATGATCGCGCCACTTATCCTATCTTGCGCCAAACTTGGCTATGGTCCCCCGTGATTGGTGAGAAGTGTTCAACATTCCTGGGTTGGCTGGAACCACAGGAACATAAACATTTTTGTGGCCTACAGGACAGAAAATGAAATACCGAATTCCATACTATCAGCTGTGCTTGAATGTTAATATCTTGTATCTGCTGTATCTGTACTATTATCCCTATCACTCCAAAATTTGGCTGTCCTTTATATAAGGGTGTCAACGATTTCGCAGCACATGAACAGGAAATGAGACAACCTAACTATATTATGTAATGCTTTGATTAAGGTTGGAGTATGGAAATGGTAATGTCCTATCTCGCTGCACCAATGCATATCTCGCAAAATTTTGCTATCCTCCAAATGAATGGTGGCAAATGATGGTGGCAAATGATCTGCAATTTTTTGTAAGCACGGAAAATGAGGATTACCATTCTATTCTCCAAAGAATTAGCGATTAGCTAAACACGCTTGTAGATCTAGCTAGTTATTCGTTGCTCCAAGCTATGCTGCTTTAGCGACGCCGCCCGCAACGCATGCGCACCTGCAAGACCAAGTCGCCGCAGCGCCAAACGCGTTGTTGGGAAACAGTCGTTACCAAGACGTAAGTTCATGACGTGAATTTAAGTGCAGAGTGCATGCAGTCGTTAAATTCTCTGGGCTCCAAAGCTTCTTCGAGGTCATGGCGCAGTGGAGGGCTCTGTATGTTACGTGTTAAAATGTAGCATGGACCAAAAAGGCGCACACACTCACAACTTTTTTGGCCGATTCAATTGCCTTGAGATATAATTATAGGTGCGTTGTGTAGCAGTGGTACAGGGCTGTAGCCTATGCAGTATAATCATTTGTGTTGCCGTGAGGTCTATATATGCCTTGCTCTTGTTCATTGAATTTCAGGAAGAAAAGCACACACAGGCTATATCTGAAGCAGCTCCTGAATGCACCCCCTCCAGAACAAGTTAGTTCAAAGTCTGTTTGGTTTCCAGTAGGTTGATGGCTGCTAGGACTGTTTGCTAGATCATGTGACTAACTAAAGAGTGAGCCTGTTGCATGTTTACTACCTTTTCCTCAAAGGTCGGAGATCACTGAATTAGGACATGTTGTCGATCACCAAAAAGAGAGCACTATAAAAAAGAAAGAAAAAAATAAAAATAAATAAAAGCAAAAAATTTATTGCTGTTTAGAAAACTGTTGGAAGATTTTTGTTTGCCGTGCTGACGCCAGGACTTGAAGCAGCATCGTTATCGATCCCGGCATGTTATTAGCCGCACTTGTCAGAATGGACCCATTTGAGTCACAGACAAGCTAGCTACTGAGTCTGGATGTTTACAGCAGGATAGAACTGTTGCAGGAGGGAGCACAAGGACAGTTTAAGGTGTAAGGTGGGCATTCTGTTGCGCTGATAAGCGGATGGTAGAGCCGGGATCGGTAATCACAATTGCTGGCACGCTATGAGAGCCATAAATATTACGACCTCGGTGCTGGTACTCCAGACACGGTCTAACTGTTTTCCATATAATACTACATGAATTATAAGTTCTTTTGGCGATCAGAAGCGATCCAACTGCAGGTAGTAGCCATTAGTGAGCATGCACAGGGAGTGCTCGAAAGCTGTCCTCCGCTGCTGAAGGCGTGTCTCGTGTGTGCAATGCTGGCGAGATGGGCGTGTTTTCCAGTCCTCGGTTGCTAGATGCTGCCTCTTGTGATGTGTGTCTCGTGGTCTGTGGCTGTTTCTGTTCAAACGGAGAGGCTGAGCTTTGCTGTTGTAAAGGCCTACATGTCCCGGGGACATGCACAATCTGTACTTGTGTAATGTAATTTTGAATTGGGGCTACCGGTTATTTGGAGTCACATAGAACATTAAGGAATGTATGTCACATCGTCGGATAGACTTCATAAATATATACATGTTATAGTTGAAGTATGAGCAAAGACGGTACTTTAACTGGTTTGTAGTCTTCTGCCAAACTGTTCTCTATTTTCCTACCGTTCTCCCGGTGAAGTCTTGTCTAGTCCCATAGAGGGGAGAAATATGAAGTGAGTAAAACAAGGCCGGAACATCCAAGAAATATACGATTAAGACAAGGCTTTTTGCTGTGTCATTGAGTAACAATATTGACTCCCTCACCATGCCCATTATGACTGTTCATGGTATACGTTAAAAATAGGTTATAGGTGTTGTGACGCCTTGGTATAGTGATCTTACCAGAAGAAGTGCCTAATTTAGTATAGGAACTTTGCTAAGCCACCAGTCCTCCTCAGACTTCTCAACCTATCCCACCATCGTTTTCTCATTTTCTTCCGCAGGAGGGAATAGCATTCTTCTATTTCACTGTGCTAGAGCCCATAATAATGTCACTATGTAAATAAAGCACGCTAGTACATCTTATATTACTTTACAAAAGTCATTATAAGTATGCGGGAACAAACCAATGATCCTTGCTGTGGATATGCTCCTAGATGTGTAGTATTGACCACAAGAGCTTGAGGTCTCTGCATTTGAAAACGAAGTTGGATGCTGGGGAAGGACTCTCGTATAGGTTCGATATTACATCTGTTCAGGGTACATGATTGAAACCGAGATAACCTTCGGCGAGCATGCGTAGCGAGGGTTGCAGTACTTGGTCTGTCTGTCTGTCCGTCTGTTACCACGTTTTCTGCCACCACGCTGAAAAAACAGGCCCAAAAAATGACACCAATGGGTTCAGAGCTACACTGGCTTCATTTTAAAATACTGTGTTCTAAGGTTGTGGTGTGAAAACCAAGTGAATGAGCAAATATGCTAATTAGCACAGACTTACCTCGGCTGGGTCCGCTTCCTCTGTGTATCATGAAGGCACAAGAAGTCACAATAATTGGCGTGTATCGACTCCCGCATGCTATCTACTGCTGTAGCTGGCCTGTGTCAGACTCTATGCGAGCTTCTTAATGGGAGACCACGCGTAAACGCATACTAATAGCCCAGCCCTATAATTAGCGGTACCGTGCATGCACAGCTCGTCGAGGGTTTGCACTTTCATTTGGTGTTAGTACTCGAACATAATCTGGCAGTAGTGTCATATGTATATGAGGAATACCTGCAGAAGAATGCCACATCCTGCTTTAATATCGAGCTCTAATCCAAGGCCTCCAACATCCAGCAACCAGCGACAATGGACAGCGACGTCGTCAGTATGGCAATTATCACATGCAGCTCTAATGCTAGGGTCTGGCGTTGTTTACAAGTATTGTCTCTGTTTGGCGAGCCCTACTGTTCTGTTGTTGCTGTGTTTGTGTTGCTGTATGTTGTATTTTGTTGCCGGTTACTCTCGGCCTAATTAACCATGCGCAGCGAGGGTTACAGTAGTTGGTCTGTGTGTGTGTCTGTCCGATACCAAACGCTTCAGTGCTACAAGCGCATGAAAAATAAAAGGGCGATTTTTCTGAAACGACAGCGTTCAAGCGCGACAAACTGGCACAGTGCCAGACCACGTAGCGTGGCCAAACCCATCAATTAGTGGTGCGCATGCGTGTATTAGATGCGAGAGATAAACAAGTCGAAAAAGCCAATCTCACTGGACTTACCCGCGACCTGTTCTGCGCTCTGTGTACCTTGGGGGCTCAGGAAGTCACAACGAATGGCAAGTATCGACTCCAGCGTGGTATCTACTACAGTTGCTAGCCCGTGTCAGACTCTCCGCAAGCGGGTGACCACGAGTATAAATAGCCCAGCCCATCAATTAGCAGTATCGCGCATGCACAGTTCGCCGAGGGTTTGCAGTTTAGTGCTTTTCATTGATAGTGGTACTTACTGCTATATCCATTCTAAACCCAGTTGGAAGCCTTTTTTTTGTTGAAGATAATGGGTGGGCATATAACTGTGGTTTTTGGTAGCTTGTCTGTGAACGAATCAAAGAAAACCTTTGGGTAAATATGCATCTTAGCTAGGGGGACTTGGCACTCTCCACCTGAGTTTGAGGCACTTGGTATGAAGAATAGTAAAAAATTGAGACAATCTTTAATGCCCTAGGCAGGCGTCTTTGTGAATACGACTAGAACCTAGCCCTAAAACGCCCCGCCTTCTTCATCCCCTTGTAGCTAAGGTAACCCAAAGGGGCGTCAGTACTCTTCTGGTTCATGTCTTCCACTGGTGATTTTTGGCTTCGCCACTCAGTCACCTCAGCCACACTGGTTCACCATGTTTTGTATGGAACGGCCAATGGTATAACGCTCGTTGCGATTCCCCGATTTTCGATTGGCCGATTCCAATTTATCGATGTGACTGGTTACACACTGGGTGTGGTAAATGTTGACAGGTTAAAAGTGAGCCGTTGTTGGTCACATGATTGGTCAAGTAAGATATCTGTAATGTTTTATTGAACATTTAATATGCGGCTTCCTATATTGAACTTAAAGTCAGATTGATTGATAACACGGGGGTATGAGTGCAAACTAGTCTTCTGTAAAACAGCGACACTCACCTAAAATGCCAAGGGAAGGTGCACACAGAGGAAGAAGTAGATCAATTGAAGAATTGTGACTGATGACGAGCAGAAGCCTTGTGATCATTACATAACCACAAAGAAAAGAAAAAAACGAAAAGCTGCAGGAATAAGTAAGTGGTTGTGGAAGGGGGTAGTGAAAATACAGCATACACAAAGATCTAGGCCGAAGGTACCGCGAGTCCCGATGGGACAGCTCGGTAACGTGTAAACACAAGATGATTGGTAACTGGACATAATAACACGACTGGTAGCATTGTGGGGCCATTGGCTGTGTAAAAAAATTAAGTCGGCATTTCTAATGGTGGGCGGGTAGTGCGATGAGGACAACGAGACTACGATCCCGGTTTCCACATTCACAGCGAACTCAACTCACGAATGCGTAGTACTGCATTGAGTGTTACAAAACATCAATCAATGTTAGAAAATGGAAAATCGGTAATCCGAAAATCAGGAATCGCAACGAGCCCTCTATTTTTGGTCGTCATTGCGTGCTAAGTTTTGTCTTTTGTTAAAGCTCCCCTCCGCTCGCCAAAAGTGACAGAAGAAGCCGTTCAGAAGCGTTGTTTGCAGATGGTTTTAGCTGTGCTGTGGGGCCATGCAGGATCTTTGGAACTTCGGTTCAGAGATTAATCTTAAGGCTGCTATCTAGCTATTAATCAGGACCTCAATACTCCACTCCTACTGTGAGTCACCATGATCGTCCTCCTCATACCTCCTCTGCTCTCTTGAATCCAACTGCAGAACAAGTCCAGCAGAGCACTAAGATTTGCTGGATTTTGTACCACAGGTTGCAAGTCTTGAGAGGATGCTTTCTTCCTGTGTGCCCACCTCTCAAGTGTCAGCCTCCCTGTTCGTATGCTAAGCGCTGCTTCTTTGGCAAACCTGCAAAGGTCCTCCCCCCCCCCCCCCCCCCCCCCCCCCCCCCCCCCCCCCCCCCCCCCCCCCTCCCCCCCCCCCCCCCCCCCCCCCCCCCCCCCCCCGCCCCCCCCCCCCCCCCCCCCCGCCCCCCCCCCGGAACCCCCCCCCCCCCCCGCCACCCCCCCCCCCCCTCCCCCCCCCCCCCCCCCCCCCCCCTCTCCCCGCTAGAGCTCGGCTGCGAATATTCTCAACTCGCGAGGTCTGTCGTCTGCAGCTGGTTCACGATTATTGTAATCTTGTTCTTTTTGGGCTTCCTTGTTCCATACTTGAGCTTAAGTCTGATATCGATGAGCTCCTTCAGTACCTTACAAGAAAATCTGTTAATATAAATGATGTCTTTCGCTTAGGAAAATACTCCGCTTCTTCTTCCAAACGCCCTTGGCCTATACTGATCAAGCTTGCTACAGCTTGGGATCACAAGATCATCCTACTACAGAAATGTATACTTAGAGACAATGAAACTCACCGCCTGTTCTTACGTGAGGATGTTCCACCTGACCATCGATTTCGACAAAAAGCAGAGCACCCTTCCCCCAAGGACAAGGTTTCTGTTTCTGAGAAGCCACCCTTACCACATACTTACACGGATAATGGAAAAAACTTAACTTCATAAGGTAAATATATCAGTGATGATTTTCTCTTAGTTCGTGTAAGATATTGGAGTGGTTGATTCTTCGTAAATATGTGAGTTCCTTACCAGTTGTTGCTTGCAGTTTAGGTTCAGGTGCTTTCCATTGCTCGTCGTTCGTTTTTTTTGCTGTCTTGGTGTAGCATCTCAAGAATGCCATGTTCCTGTCTCTCTGATTCGTTTGGGGTTTCTAATGGAGTTCGTCAGTGAAGTATTCTCTCTCCTCTTCTTTTTTTTGTATGGTTTACCGTCTGTATTGGTTGAATGTAGTTTTGTTTGTTAGTGGAGAAATTTTTTGCTGGGTGTTTATGTTGTGCTGATGACATTGTTTTACTCACTCCTTGTCCTTTCTGCTCTATGAATCATGTTGAACATCTGCTGTAACTATGCCTCCTGTCATGGTCTGGAGAACACTACCAAGTCGAAGTTAATCTGCTTTCTGCATTCCTCGCGACAAGATTACCCTGTATTGATAAACATGAATTGCAATTTTCTGACAGAGTATCTCCTCTCGGCCACATACTTACCGTTAACCTGCGGGACATCATAAGAGCCACCAAAGATTTGAATCGCAAGGCCACAGTTCCTTCAGATGTGTTGATCCATGTGTTGAAAGGTTTTGCTCAAATCGTTCTGTTTATCCTGGTACGGTTGCATTCTCTGGTGTGTCCTCACTCCTGCTATATACATTATTCTATATAATTATGTATATAATTTGAGTCAGACTTAACCATCACCTTCACCGGATTTCGAAGTTGCCTTGCTACTCTCACACAGCTGTTTGTCATTGCCTCGGTCAAGTTCCTGCCATTGGAAATGTCCTCCTTAAGCGTTTCACGCCATTCTGCAAATCCACTCTCTCTTCATCTTCTCCTCTTGTAGTATCTGTCTATTTCGATTCCTGTTATCTTTCTTATACCATCACAGTACCTATGGTTATCAGCATCTCAAATTATCATCTGAATCGTATATTCGTCAGTGTTTTGGTTTTCATTCACCCTTAGAATCTGTTGTTTACGAACTTTCAGTTTCATTTCATCGAGTGATGCCCTGAACCCTGAAAACTCGGGATCTCTAAAGAAATCTATCTGTGGATTTCCCGTCAGTCGTAGATGTCTCATGAGCCCACAAACGTCAACCTATGATACTTTAGTATTTTGAACAGCTGACCAGTGTTCAGTCCAGGAGCCAGTCTTCAATTTTACGTGCATTCTGTACACGTGGGGTGTTGTTTGACGTCACTGTTCGACACCCAGGAAACTCAGTAGCGCCACAGACAGAGTTGAGATGAGGCAGCGATTCGCTTAAACAACAGCTAAGCTCTCTCCCCACCCCCCTATGAGCACTGGCCGTGGCTGAAAAGTTATGCCTCAGAGTCACTTTCAAGTGACAATAGACAATGTTTTTAGTCTACTGTGTACTAGCCTAGGCCCCCCTGTGTTCAATTCACTCGCTCGATATTTAACCGCACCCCACCCCTACTCTCATGCTAAAAGCTGACGTAAACCATGTCAGTCATGGGTTTAGTTGACTTGTTTGCCTTGCTTTTTACCTCGTTACCAAATTGTTGAGACATGGCATTATTAGAGAAATGATTGAGATGTGGCACATTCCGTTAGTATGCCAAGTAGTCTAAGCCATCCTTATAAACCGAGTGCTATACAGGTGCTGCGAGTTTTCTTAGTTAGCTTATCAGAAATTCCATGTGTGAAAAGACTAAATTTGCCTGCACTAACGCTTCAGTTCTATCGTTATTTCTGCACTGAGAGTTTGCACTTTTGTGTTTTTGATTGGACCTGATTATCTCTTTTGAAACTTGTATTACGGGATGTTGTAAGAATGTCCAATGTTACATAATATCCACCATTGATGGTACATAATTTATTAATGCGTTAAAGGCGCAAAACTTGGTACTTAGTAGTGCTTTGTGATACACAATGAGACATTACTCTAATTTCTTACACGGATAATTATTATGATGTCTGACTCTATATTTCCTTAAGAATAGCTTTTTGTGTAATAGCCCATGGCTACAGAAGTGATTATTGTAGCATTCCACATTAAGAAATCTAAATCTTTGTCACAGATGGGCTCTATGGTATTTCAAGTCAGACAAAAACAAAGAATGGAAGGACAACCTCAAACTTGTCATATCTTTTGATACGGTTAGTATTCCTTAACATGAACACTATGCAGTGTACTTTTGGCATGAAGCATGCTTGACTGATTTATTGGTGAGTGAAGTGAGCCCACCTTTTGTCTGAATGCAGGATTTTTCCATATTATATATACGTATATGCTAGTAGAATGTTTTAAACATTGTTGGCGAGCGGGAGCGACCCAATTGGGACAGGGGCGACACAAAACCTGTGTTGTAAGCCTGGTTTAGAAGGTGTTCTGTATGTGCACTGTAATTTTATCACTGTATGTGCATAACACTTATTACATGCATGTATGTGCATATACACCAGGGCATTCATGTGTTAGTGTAACTGAGGAGTGGTAAGATCTATGTGAAATGTTTTCATCCGAGCTGGATGGCTGCAACACACTGCATTTTCATAGATACAGTTTGAAATTGAAACTGTTGGAATTCTGGGATTGTCGATAACCTAACCTTTTTTGGCTCTGTAAAATCTAAAACCTTCAAGAGAGCATTTGTGCATTTTACCTCATTCCCAGGCCATTTGATAAAGGTGGGAGGCAAGGCTAGTGAGTTTAGTGTTTCAAGGCCGTTGTGAGGCATTCGGACATGCAGAGTAGTGGCATATCGGCTTCTTTGAAGTATGAAGAGGAAATTTGCATAAAATATGTTGTAGGAAAATGTTAAATTTTGATTTACTTCTTTTTCCCTTTATGATATGATGAAAGGTTGAGGACTTTTGGTCGTAAGTTTCTTTCCTTGTACTTTCTTCTGTGCATAAAATTTGGGTGGTTATCGACAGCCCAGAGGAGGTTGGACACGCATTGTAGATTGCGTAACGCAATGCAATTTTTTCCTGAGCCTGCAATCCTTTCTCTGTAGAGAATGTATGGCAGATACATAATGCCTCACTTAATCAAAGCCAGGCCGAGATGTAATATTCAATAGATGTATCTTAAGAAGTAAAGCGGTCGAACCCCACCCTTACCCCATGTTCCGAGTCAGTTATAGCAAAGAGTACTAGAAGCTTCGCGGTACTCGCAGTGTAATCGTTGTTACTCAGCTATATAACTATACAGTACCTTTTTTCGATCCTTGTTACAACTCTCTGCTTGATTTCAAAAGTATCTTCTAACTTAAGCTCTACAAAACTAGGCTATGAACTGCAGAGGTTGACATCCAGTGCCTTCGTACCTGAAATGTTAATTTAAGTTGATTCACGCGATCTTTTCCAACCTCTTCTGGTGCAAGCCTAGCATAAAGTCATATGTTTTAACTTTAAAATTTACGGTAGACTGCCAGCTTTGTCCTGTAAAGAATGTTTTACAATATGCATTTGCATGCGCATTTACCTATCTACTAACGCCACAGGTCTCTATTCTGTTGTGAGACATGTGACCTTCAGCCAATCAGATCCTTTGATATTGTCGCATGCTGCTTTTAATGGTTCAATGCGTGTGTCATAACTGGTTAATGCACACTTTTTTCACTTAATCAACACCTTTTCAATTTAATCCATACTTCTGGCTGAGGTCACATGCAGCACTGTGTGCTGTGCACTACATTGTGCGGTTACAGTTAGTGCACTCGGAAGAAGTGATAACCGTTTCGTCATTGATCCTCGATTGTTATCACTCTGTCCTCGTGTACTTGGACTAAACCACGTAATGCACTGCATTGTGTGTTCTAAATATTAGTTAGCGTTCTAATTGACCGTTGATGCCCATGCACAGCAATGGTTACACTGTCTGTCTGTCTGTCTCTGTGTGTATCAGCTGGCACTACAGGCTACGGAGCATATTATACATGGCAGACCAACAACCTTCCCTGGCAGCGACTGTGGTGCACTACCATAGTTCCTGGTGTACACTGTTTCGTTCATAGCAAACTGTCTTTGAGAGGAACGTAGATCATGCTACAACTTCTGGCAGTCAACTGCTTTTTGTGCTTTCTTGTCTGTCTCTGGTCTAATAAAGAAGAGTGTAGAGCTCAATGTGCAACCCCACATCAATTCAGGAGCAGTGGGTGTCATTAACCCTCGGCGCGCATGAGCAGTGAGGGTTACGGTAGTTGGGTCTGTGTGTCTGCGTGTCTGTCTGTTACTCTTCATCTCACTTCTCGAGTGTTCGTAAGGATACCACCTACTGAACGGGCAATGAAGGTCAGAATTTCGAACGGTTTTCTCTGAAAACGCTCCGTTGCAAAGCTAGAGCGAGAAAAAGCCAATATGCAAATATACAACGGCTTACTATGGCATGATCGATCCGCGTGCTCTGCGTATCTCAGAGGCACCAGAAGATGCAAAGCAGGGCGTGTATCGCCTCTCGCATGCTATCTAGTAGTGTAGTTAGCCCGCGTCAGACTCTGACAAGAGACCACGAGTAACAGCTAAAACTAAACCCAGTCCATCAATTTGTGGTACGGCGCATGCGTTTACTTACGCGTGCGCGTCACAGTGCGCCGAGAGTTTGCACTTCAGTGCTTTTCATTTTTGTCATAGACTGTCAAGTAAGACATTCTCTGACGGTCAGTTCAATCTGTTTGTACATACTAGGCCACCACATATATCCTCTGGCGAGGAACTTTATCCTCACAATTCCCTGATGAGCTTCGTGCAGCAGATCCAATGCCTTTTCTTTCCCCTCGTCAGTAGCACCGTCCGATTTGACTACCATGGACTCTGGATGTCTCGGGACCTCATGCTCTGACAACATCTTGACGGGTAGCCTACTGTGTGCGTCTCTATTGGCCACATTCTTCTCCTCACAGTACTGGATGGAATAGTCATACCCAGCCAGTGTCAGAGCCCATCTCTGAATTCGGCCAGTGGCCATGGTTGGCATTGCACAAGTTTCGCTGCAGATGTGCGTTAACGGTTTATGTTCAGTGTTGATGCTGAAATGTCGACCATGCAGTCAACCATATGGATGAAAGTTTTCATGCCATAATATGGTGGCAAGAGCCTCTTTGTCGAGGTGTGAATTATTTGACTCAGCCTTCATCAGTGTTCGTGATGCAAACCCAACTCTTTTCTCCTATTATCTGACATCTTGTGAGACCACACCGCTCCAATAATGCTCCCTGAGTGGTGGTTGAAGGCGTTCCGTTGTTTTTACCTTGAGCAGACTTCCTGAGGAGCAGTTGGTACAGAGGTGCGAAGAGCCGTTGCAAGGTCAAGAAGAAACTTGCCATAATAGTTCACCATTCCTACAAAAGATAGAGTTCACCAACCTTTTGTGGTTCCAGAGCTTCCACTCCGGCACAGACTTTTCGTTTCCTCTGTATGGAGGACTTCTGAGCTGATAACATGCCAGGGGTACGACACTGACGGTAGCTTAAACCTGCAGTTCTCCCATTCCAGGCACATTTCAGCTGACTCCAACCTCTGCAGCACTTGTGCCAGGTTGTTAAGCTGTTCTCCCGCTGACGATAATGAAGGGAGCAGAGGACACGCCAAACGGAAAGATATCTGTTGTATTGATCATTGCATAGCGACAGGAGTCTTTCTCCAATGGAATCTGAAGGAAAGATCGAGCTTGGTGAATAAGTGAGTGAGTTCTCGGAATCGTGTACTTCTCTATCTTCGCAGCTTGATTGATCGTGATCTTGTAGTCACCACAGATTCTGACACGCCCATCCAGCTTCATCACTGGAACTCTCGAGGGTACCCAGTGCGAGAACTGGACATGACGGATGACTCCCAATTGCCGGAGCCTGTCCAACTCTTCCTCCACCTTCTTATTGATGGCGAAGGGACATGGTGGAAAGATATATGGTTGTTCGTGTTTGTCGGTGTAGATCTTCTTTGCTTTGCTATCTTGAAGTTTGCCCAACCCCTCCTTTAAATACTTCTTCTCCAACACCTGCTGAAGTGAGAGCGTGGCCGCTGCAAAAATTGTCCGAAGTGTTGCTAGCTAGTCTGGACCGAGCAGAGGCGGTCCAACTGCTTTTGTGACAACCTGACACAGGTTTTGATGTCTGGCCATTGTACTCGACAGGTAAAATAGCTGATTCTAGGACGGCTATTGACTGTCCCATGTATTTCTTGAAGTTGGTGAAGCTCCACGGCAGATACTCCTTCCTTAATCCAAATCAAACATCTCCTTACCAACGACCGAGACAGAAGTGCCCATATCAATCTCCATGAACAGCTGTTCTCCATTGACGTTGAAAGTGACCTTGTAGGGCTTTGTGTGATCCCAATTGGACGCTATACATAGTATCATCGTCCTCCTCGTTCGTTACCTGCTTCGCCTACTTGTTCTTTAGCTTGCTTCCTCTTCCTTTCTTATGACACATCTTCGCCAGATTACCCTTCTTCTTGCAGAAGTGGCAGACGTGTGTGTGTATCGAAGTGAAAACTGGGTCCACAAAAAAACGTGTGTGCACAAATGTCCCCCCCCCCCCACCTTATTTAACGAATGCTGGTGTGTG